TAGAGATCAATTCTGCGTTCTGGCAGAAGCCATATTTTTGGTTTGTCTCTTGTGGGAATTGGGATATGAGCAGGGGATGATGTATATTTTTCTAGAATATGGACTTCCCTTGTTGCATGCACTTGAACAGGGGATAAGTCATTTGTTTGACGTTCACAGAATATTTTAAAATACAATTAAGCCTCGAATGAGGTTAGATGTGCAAATATGACCGATGGAAAGATGTTTATGGTCCTCCAAAAAATATTGCAACCTGCTGTTAAAAATGCTCGTACCAAAGGTTTTGAAAGAGATATTTGCTGGGTTGTTTAAAATGTCATAAAACTCTGGAAGCATATCATTCACAGAGGATGTTTAAATTAGAGCTTTGTGGAGACTTTATAAGCTACTTGCAAGCTATCTTCGATCAAATGTGAGAGCTTCTTTCAAGTGTTTTATTTATGCTGGATCTATTTTACCTTTCAGAAGATGAAAGGGAGGAATTTGGGGGAACAATCTAGACTCTGTTTTACATACAGCAGGCAAATTTCAGGGGCTAGAAATCCTCTTCGAGCCTGGGAATTGGAGTTTTGTGTATGGTTGGGTGATTCATTTTCTTTGATTAATTAAGAGTTCTGCGTTTAGTATTGGAGACCCATCCTTGCACAACTCCAATTAACATCTCACTTTTTTTAACTATTGCAATTTACGACTGTTTTTCTAATTTTTATTGTAGAAAATACTAGCTAAAACCCTCTTAATTTGTTTCTGTAGAGATGAAGCTATGGAGTTAATTGATCAAATTGGATAAATTGGAGAGACACTCTTTGAATTGCTATCAGAAGCTCTTGGTCTCAAACAAGACCACCTAAAATCCATAGAATGTAACCAAGCGTGTCATGAACCAGAATTGGCTATGGGTGTAACCAAGCATACCGATAACACGCTCCTCACTATTCTCACAGAAGATCAAACCGGCGGTCTTCAAGTACTTCATGATAATCAAGGGGCTTATGTGATGAACCAGGACTGGCAATGGCTTATGAGATGATTTAAGAGCTTCTGGCAAAAGTTATAGTATCTTCGGGATATGGAGAATAAAGATAAAAAAAGGAAAGAGTATAATAACCTTGGTGTTTATAAAATTAACTATTTTAAAACTGATCATATACAAAAGCAAATGGAGGGATAATTAGATGTCAGGACGATGATAAATTATAGAACAACTTGATTAAGATATGTTAATCTAATCATCATTAAAAACATTCTGATAAGGCATTCCTCGTAAGTTAACATACCTTCACAGAGCAAGAAATTAATTCCATTCAATTTTTCAAAAGGTTGTGAAGCTTATCCCTTTCCATATTTCATCAAAGTCTACTTCCTATAGTTCGAAGCCTTCCATGTAATAGTTCCAGCAGTCATAACCATTTGCGTCTGTCAAATAGCAAAGAAAACCACTACAGAACAAAAGAAATCTTAATTAATCTTCTACCCTAGATTTGCTTTACAGATTATTTATTTAAATTTTATAAACCTTAAAATTATTAAAAATTTATATCATCGTTAAATTTAAAACTCGTAGGATTAGTCAAAATACGCGTAAGTTAATCAAAATATCTATATTAATCTAAAAAAATATCTTTATATTTCCAAATAAATAAAAAAAGAAATTTTAAAGGGTGTGTTTGGAACGTAGAGCTAATTATATTTCCAAAAATTTTGAATTTCTACTTAAAATAATTTTTTTTATGTTTCTTAAATTGTTTTGATATGCTAATATTAAAAATAATTTTTAAAAAATAAAATAATTTTATTTTAATATATTTTTAAATAAAAAATACTTTAAATCACTACTATTATTATACTACTAAATGGGCTAAATTCCGGTAAAAAGCTTTTAATTTCTTTTTTCCAAGGCATATTGACGATGATCGGAGACAGTTCTTTGTTTTTTTGCTGCAAATGAAGCTTACCTTTCTTCTTTTTTGATTGGAACATGAATGACCTCCTAAAACTAATGATTAACTTTGTACACTATGTTTCTACCACTTTAAATTATGGCACAGAAACCCTCCCTTCACCTGATTTGGGGGAAAAAAAAAATACAAACTAATTTGCTTCAAAGCCATAAAAGATTAAATGAACAAACATGAAGAAACACAGAAGCACTCGACAAAAACAATTTGGTTATTGATAGAGAAAATTAAAAACATAAAAGCAAACAAACACTCAGCACAAACCAAGCAAAACATATCTCCATCATATTATCTGTTGAACATTTAAACCCCCCCACCCCCACAAAAAAAAAAAAAAGTCTTAACCCGTCCAAATCATTAGTTGTCCTAACAACTTATTACAACAAATTTGTTGTAGGTCATAATAGAGAACAATAAAATTAAAGAAGGGGAAAGACAAATATCGAAAGTAATTGAGAAGATGAGGAATCATTCTCCATCACTTAGCAAAAACTCTCTAGCTTGGTCACTCAAAACACAAAAGAAAACTAAAATAACTATCTAAATTTCTCTACCCGTGAAGAGCAATTTATTAATTAATTAACCTTTCATCGGAGTCAAAGAAAAAAAAAAAAAAAACCATTCCATTTGAATCATTTCAGATTTTGACTAGAGTATACCAGACTAATTTTATAAAAGTTTTTAAATTCAATTCAAAACTTAAATTATTGATTTTGATCAGATTATACCAAATTAATTTTATCTTTTTATAAATAAAAAAATATTATTTTTATTAAAAAATATAAATAATCAACAGAATATAACTAAATTTTTAAATAGATTTTGCTAGCTCTATCAAGTAGTAAACTTGGATTTTTGATGAGTCATCTAAACTTTTTCCTTTTCTCATCTTTTTAAATTCAGCCTAGTCCTAGATTACCTATATAATAAGATAATATGCCAAACTAAATTTTAAAACTATACTTAAGATTTATTTTAATCTTTATTTTTTTTAAATTAATCCTACTAACATTTGGGGGTGGCGGAAAAAGAGGGTGCTATGTTGAATCAGTTGAAAATTGAGGTGTTTGGTAATTACCATCCTATGAAAGCTTCAGATCCACTTCTCTTACAGGACATGTTTATGAAAATGCAATCCAATCAACTAGATGCTTAAGAGTTTGTCTAGTAACGTAATTGTGGTTAATTTTAAAAATTTTTTATATCAAAATATATATTAATAATTTTTTTTATTTTTTAAAAATTATTTTTGATATCAAGATATCAAAATGATTTGAAAATTAGTATATCAAAATGATTTGAAACCACTAAAAAAATATTAATTTAAAATTAATAAAAAAAATAAAAAAAATTTAAATTTTTTTAAAAACATTTATAAAACACAAAAACAATAAAAACTAATTAATTAAGTAACTAAGAGATTAGCTGCACAGAAATTTAACTAATCGCATGTATTTGTGATACTCATCAACATCAATTAAAAAGAAAAAGGGAGATAACCAGTCGAAGAGTGAAAAAATGAGTCTGGATAAAAGAAAATGAGAGAGAAATACCTTTAATCATGCTAAAAGAAAGAATCACAAAGTATATATACTCTTGATTCTTTATTTAATTAAAATATTCTTGATTTTTTGCTAATTTGATAACTAAAATCCAGATTTTAGTACTTCTTCATTCCTCTTTTAGGAGTTTTAATACTTTTAATATTTATTTTTTGTTTAAAAGCTAATTATTACTATTTGTGTTAATTATTTATTAATTAACGACTAAAGCATGAATCTTAATACTTGTTTCTAGTTGTCGTTTTAACTTTCTTTTTCCACGTAAATCTAATTATTATTATTGTAATTCCTTTTCTATGATTAGCCAACATTACTTTTCCACATACCTTTTCTGTAATTTCCTGAATTTTTCCTTATTCTCTCTCAATATGTAAATTCTTTCCTTTTCTTTTTAATATATTTTGCATTTCTTTTCCATATAGGAATAATTATTACTAGTTGTTGTATTACTTATTTTAATTAGAAATAATCAAACTTTATAAAATTATTCGACTTTCAAGAATAAAAAAATTAATTTGATTCATTATATATTTGAATATGTTTATTTTTTAAATTATTCACTAAAAAATATTAATATATAATTAAATAGTACACTTGTGAGAGCTAGTAATTCTTATTATTTGCCTACTCATTGTTATTATTTTGTTTTTTTCTACTAACAAACATAATCTTTTTATTTGTTCAAGTCAGTATTAAGGAAAAACATACTTGATTAAGAGTGTGTTTGGTTTGGAGGTGTGGTGGCTTTTTGTTAAAGGTACAATACCTTTTAAGAACAAATCACATCTCTAAAAGCTATAAAAACATGTTTTTTTCTCCAAAAAAGCAAAAGTTATTTCATATTCAAACACCTTCTAAGAGATCATCCCTAAATTTTATTATTTCTACAAAAAATAAATAAATTATGTTTTGAAACTAAATTCTTATTTGGAAATTTTGAAAACACACGTACAAATTGGATGTAATTCTTTAATTATTATTATTTTTATTAATATAAATATTGAAATCAGCTTCCGTGTATCTAACTAACCTCGTAAATTTTAAAATTAATAATTATATAAATTTTTAATAATTATTATATTAATAATTATAGAATTTAAACTTAAAATCATAAGAAAGACAAAATTCTTGATTCCAATCTCTTATCAATTTTAACTTATTCAACTATTAATAATGTTTTTAATTATTATTAATAGTGGACATAGTTAAAACTGGTTACACAACTCTCCATAATTTGAAAATACAAAGTTAATAGTAAGGAAGAAATGAAACAAAAAACTAGGACCCTAAAACTCAAAATTATTTTGATTTTGAGTTTACATGGGATTCCTTTTTTAAAAAAAAATTCTAAGAGTTGCTATGTGAGTGTTTAAAGGATTATATTAACAAATATGAATGAAACGTGGACAGAAGAGTAGAATTGAGAATAAAATTGATGAATGAGATTAATAAATGATAACATTGACAACGATGATGGATGGTTGTTTTTGGTAGTTCATTCATAAAGAGAACCGGTTTTGACTGGTGTGAATTTAGCGCCGGTGTTGTTTGCTTATAACTTTCTATGATGATCATCGCGTGTGTGTGTACCTCAAGCCTCAAGCCTCCAATAGCTTTCTTCCGTATCTGTTCCCATTTTAATATTCTCTTTCGTCCCACTTGTTTCATGTCCTCTGCGATCAGTCCCATTCTCTCTCTGTCTCTCTCATTATTCCCTTTACAATATATTTGATTCTCTCACATACAATTCATTACTTGTCAATAGAGGATTCAATTTCAATTTCTGGGTATCACTTAATTTTCCTCAATTGTTTTCTTGATATCCTCTTCTCTATTTTAAAGTTTTAAAGGTCTTTGCTTTCTTGATGGTTTGAGGAGATGGGTTTTTTCGTTGACCCGTCAAGAGGTTAAAATTTTATTGAAATTCGTGGTGGTGGCGGTGGTGGCGAAAAGAAAAGGAGAGAGAAAACATGAGGGATTTTGCTGGGGCTCCAGGGACTTTGACTGGACTTGCTTTGAGGCTTTCGCAGTGTGTTTTCGCAGCTGGCTCCATTGCTGCCATGACCACCACCACTAACTTCTTCAATTCCACTTCTTTCTGGTATTATATTATTCGCTCTTTCCTGCCCTATTCATATACTATTCTCTAAATTTAATTTTGATCAGGTATTTGAGTTTTTTTCATTACATATAGGCTTTACTTAATTAGGATTGGAATTTACCATTTCAAAAATTGAAATATTTCTAGACAATAAATAATTACATTAGAAGAACTTGATGATGCAATCCATATGTTGTAAAAATTAACTTGATTCTCTTAATGATCTTTTTGTTGCTTATTGCCTGCAAGAAACTCATAACTGGATATCAAACTGGCATCGAGTTCACAGCTACTCTGTTATGAATGGCTTCTGCTGGAGAGATAACCTCTTTACTTGTTTACCATCAACAAAATGAATGAATTGAAAGCTCTATATAAGTAAAAAAGTCACAAAACTTCGTTTGAAAATTCCGTGCTGGTGATGTGCTTTCTCTATAGAATAGTTCACTAAATCTATCATTACCTCGGGAAATTGCTGAATCATTGAAACATGCCCAAGCTATATGATAATTTGCTTTCTTGTTACTGGTGCTGTCTTTCTATAACCTTGTCACCTGTTGATGCTATTTTTTAAGTTCCCCCAATAATTTGTCTCCAAGTATGTCCTACCTGTTGCTCAACCATATTTGGGCCAATCTGTTGTGGTAATAATGAGCCTTAAGCCATGTATTATCATTTCTTAACTCTGTTGACTGTATTAACAGCATCTTTTGAGAGGAAAACGGTTAAACAGTATATTATGTATTTTTGGTTTGATATACTGATCATCACAGTCGCAAAGTGCCTAAGTCATTGCCAATTACAAACGTTTTTTCCGTGTTCATGCAGCTACCTCATTGCTTCGATGGGTTTGCAAATCATCTGGAGCTTTGGACTAACACTATTGGATGCATATGCCTTGGTGAGAAAGAGGACCCTCCACAACACTGTCTTGCTCAGCCTTTTTGTCGTTGGAGACTGGGTTGTTCTCAACGGAACCTTTTAATTATTCTTGACTTATATCACTAAATCCAAACTAGCTCTGTCTTCCTATGATTGTCATTTGACAGTGCCAATTTTTTTATATTTTGTATACAGGTGACCGCAATATTGTCTCTTGCAGCCGCTTCAGCTTCAGCAGGCATCACAGTGCTGTACTTTCATGACTTGGGGAGTTGTGATTTTGTGAGGGAATGCCAGAAATACCAAATGTCAGTTGCCTTGGCCTTTTTTAGCTGGATAACAACTGCAATTTCATCTCTAATCATGCTTTGGCTATTCGCTGCAGGTTAGACAGTAGTGTATATTCATGACACTGAAAGCCATCTTGTCTCGTAGAAATTTTGATCTTCTTAACACTGTCAATACAAAAGAAAACAAGAAGAATAAAATAATGATTTTCAAAACTTATTGTGATTTGGTTTATCAAGTAAAATCGCCACGCTGTGCTGCTCAAAAGATTTTTGAGAGAGTCAGGGTGCCTGTTAAAGAAACGTCTTAATGACAACAAAGAACTTGCTCCCCGTCTGTCTGCTCTCTCCTTCTCTATGACTTGGACTCCTGGCCTGGTTTACCTTTGAACAAAAAAATAAATAAATCTAACAGAGAAAATTTAAATCACCAAATCCCAACAAACTCCTTTTCATTTTTATAACTATCTGGTTGGAATCATGGGCAAGTGATTTTTGCCTTAAAACATGTGCTGCTGCATGGTTTTGTTATTCATAACTGGGAAAACTCCATAATGTGTTATATATATAAAATACAAGAAGAAAACATATGGAATACAATTTCTTATTAAATAATCATAGAGCCAGGAAATGCCGATTTCGACGTCGGAACACTAAGCAGCTAAACTCTTTCCAATGTGCAAGACAAGACAACTAGGCAAGACACTGGTTTAATATTTATGCAGAGATGGGAACCCATTCCAGCTTACTCCTTAGTCATTATCACTAAACAGATTATTCCCAAAATTATCAGAATGGGGACACAAATAAATCGCTATCTCTAAAAGTTAGTGGTGTTGAGTGGCATAACAAGGACAGCTGCGTTGTGCCATACATGGATGGCATACTTTTTTATCATAATATAAATATCATGCTAACTCATGCACGTATAAATAAAATAAATTTTCACTTGAGGTGGTGTTCTAGTGCTTATGGGAGGAACTTGTTTTTTTACTCTAATACTCGGGTTTGATTTTTTGTATATATTTGTTATTCTTGTAGTGTTTTACCTATCTATTAGACTTATAAAGTGTTCAGTGGATCTGAAAATTAGTTGTACTGTGCGTAAACTGACCTGAACTCCTCGAATTACTAAAAAATACAATAAATTTTGCAAGAAAAATACAATCTTTCCATTTAAAAGCACAACAGGTAAGAAATAAATATGAAATTTTGTTCAACTTGAAATTTATATGTATTTATGCTATTTTACACTTAATTTTTTTAATTGTTTAGTTAATAAAACTCTAATATTTTATCAATTCAATTCAAAAATTTAAATTTTTAAATGTATTTTAATATATAATTTATATTATTCTTATACATATCCATTTTTTAACACCCCCACTTCAATTAAGTTTATGAGAATATAGACGGTTAATGGAGCTGGGGGTTTATAGAAACTCTGGTATTTCCTTGCAAACCCTCACTCCCTACCCTTCCTCATATCAAAATATTTGCCAAACAAAGTTTGGAGGTTGAGCCCCACCTTTCCCCGTCAAACCCCTCAAAACAAATATAGTTTTAGCGCAAGACCACACCCCTCGATGTGTGCTGAAGCCACCCTTCTAGTTTTTCTATCTTCACAAATTCGTTCCCCATCTCCTCCTCTAGATAGAAGTTCCGATTCCGAAACAGGTTGAGGGAAGTTCATGTTAATTTATTAACGCTCCATCTTCTTTTAATAATCAAACACAACCGAAGAGAACAAGGAGATTTTTTTCAAAATAGATTGCATTGGCATGCGCTTATTGGAATCAGAAATCATACGACTACTAAAAACTGTTGGATTTATCTTATTATCTGTAAAAGTAAAACAGTGATCAGAACTGTCCTGCAAATTGAGCATGCCAGTTGCTTGCCTTGTCTTTTTCACTTACTCAACACTCAGTTTTGATGGGCCTGTTCATTTGTACTCTACTCAGAAGGAGAAAGGCCCTCGAACTGTTCAGAACTGTTTCGGTTGCAAGTCTACCTCACCAAAAGCATATCTTACTGATCAAGAAAATCAGGAAACAAGGATGATACACATGATCAGCGGGGAAAAAAAATCAAATTATCTTGAAATTTGAGAAACAGTGGCCAGCCTAACGTTTGACAAATGATGGCCATGCATGGTTGACACGCAATAACAGGTTACCAAAACCACTTTGCTTTTTTCTCACATTTAATGCTTGTGTTTCAGATATATGGCACCAACTATTTTCCCATAAATGTATAGGTTTTTGTCTAGTTTTCACTCCGTTTCGTCATTCTACTCAAGGGAGCACTCTTGATTCTTTTCTTGGTATGCTAATTTCCAACCTCTTCACCTCTTTGCAACTTCGTCTTCATAACATTCTTATCTTCGAAACCCTCGTGGGATAGCACTTGGATTGGGACTTTGATTTCCTTGGCTGGGGTAGCGACCATGACATTATATAGGGGTCTTGTCATGAAACATCCATGGCATCCTCTAATCCATATTCAGTACATATTTTCCTCTGAACGAATATGGGATGTTTTATCTTGATATGTAGCTCATTTTCCTTAAAATATAGGCTTTGACTTTGAAAAGGAATCCTGCACAACTTTCGCTGACCACATGGATGAGCTTTGTGGGGGCTGCACAATCGGCCGTCTTCGCTGTGATTGTCCAACATAAGAGAGCTGCTTGGACAATCGGATTTGATATCGGACTTCTGGTCTATTGTCCATGTTGTATGTGCCAAGTACATCAGAGATGGTCAACAGTGGTTACTTGGAATATTCCTAACAGGGTTCTTATTGTGGGTCATATACGGCAGGGAATAGTGGTCTATGGCTCAATAATCTTCGTTGAACAGGTGCACGGAAGAAAAAGGATCAGTTTTCGTGACCATGTTCAGTCCCCTTTCTACAATTTTGGGTCCTACGAGTTCCTAAGATGTAGTACATTATTTCTCATAAACCTAACCAGTACATGATGACTAACGTAGTCTGAAGTTCCAGGTCTTAAAAATAAAATAGGCTAAGGAAAGCAGATTTAAATGAAGTACCGAATCGTATTTTGTGACTGAAAAGCTGACCTAAATGTTTGTGTGGCTTGAACAGCTTACTGGGGGCTGTTGTCGTCATCATTGGCTTGTATTTGCTGTTACGGGGCAAAGAGGAAGATCAACAAGTTCACAGAAAAGAACAAGAACAATCTTAGTTGGCTTATGATGATCAAAAGGAACTCGGGATACAGATAGACAGGTAGTTCAACTGTAAGTCAAGCATCGCCAAGCTGAATTTATTCTCCAAATTATTCCTCTTGTGCAACGACCGATGTGGTGCAAAGCCCCTTTCATATCAGACAGTGTTGTGGTATAAAGATAGATGCTTCAAGTGGAGGAACATGCTGGGAAAAAAAAAATTGACCGCTCAGAAATTTCATACATTCTTAAGATTTAAACGCAATGCAAATTGAAAAAGGAATGTTACAGTGTACGTGCTCTGTATGGACCTCTCCTTCAGATATAACAGAGGATCTGATAATAATATTGATAATATTCCCATGTTAAGATATGCTTAGCTTCTAGATGTGCATAGCCTCTTCCCCCGCCTTTATGGGAAAAAAATCAACTTCGATAATGGGCCTCAAAGAGTCGAGATCACAGCCCCACATTAATTCCCAAGCATAACAACAGAATCGTCTATGAAAGTTCCAAACTATAAAATAAATCAGTGTGCAAGTCGAGCTCCGAAAAGAAAGCTCTCAATACCAATTCATTAATAGAAAGGCCTGTACAAGAAAATAGTAATAATAAAGTGCACTAAATAACAAACCACTGTTATCTTCCATGATGATCATTTTCAAACATGTCAAATGCATCTCGAATTTTTAAGGGAGGAGCAATTTATGAAATCAAGATCTGGGACTCGCAGGAAAGCTACTGAAATGTTACTGGAAAAATCCAAATGCTAACACACAATATCAGAGAGTAGAGATAAAATGATTTACTCGAGAAAATACTTGCAATCTAGCTGCCTTCGAAGCAATCCCCAGCACCAAACTTGCCAATAATTGAATTGTCAAAATCAGGTAAAGTGCAAAGCAAGTTATATTTACATTTTAAGAAAATTCTAGAAAACAGCATCTGAAAGTTATCAGGATTTTGATGAATAAAAAAGAATCATGCAGCAGGTGGCCTGAGCTCATGATCACGTGATGTATCACAAGTGGCTGGGGGTAAATAATGCCACATTGGCATCAGACCATAACCGGGAAAGACTGGTATCTTGTTGGCTGCAGCATGATAGGTTGCTGGATAGGCTGGCATGAACCCAGAAGTGGTAAGAGCCAAAGTTTTCAACTGTTGCTCCATCTTTTCTTTATCTGCCTTAAGCATCAGTTTTTCTTCACGGAGTTCAGTCTTTTCAGCCTGTTGCAGGAGCAGAAAATTAGAAAACCCATTCTCAGAAAGCCGGTAGGAAAATAAATTTCAGGTGTAATTTGAAGAAGATTCAAATGCATCAATCACCTTAAATATAAATTCAACTTAAAAACCAAGAATATAGGGACCAGACATTAAGAATAAACAACTATAGTTAGTGGATGCCTCTTTTGGAAAGCTCTTCCTTTGTTAATAGATATATAATGGTTAGTTATAGAGATAACATGGAAGCAGGAAATAAACATATCTCAATTACTAGGAATTAAAAGAATCAAGGAGGAAATTCAACAAATAATACTGGGAATTAATAATCTAAAAGTCTCAGATCCTTCAGATTTGTGAACTATATTAGGATATTCGAATAAAGGGATCATATTCCCATGCAGCGCAGAAACTGCAGAAAGAAATAACAGTTGTTGTAGTTAAATGCGTGTTGGAAATGACTACCTTCAGACTTTTGATTTCTTCCAGAAGTTTTTCATTAGTTTCTTTGAGCTCCTGAGCCTCGTTTTTTAGCTGGTTCAGAACTCTAATAGCATCATCTAGTATGGCAGGTTTGTCAGTTTTGGCTGGTCTTCCAGGTTCCAAAACAGAGCTCAAATCTTGAAACCTGCAATCATGAGGAAAATCTATTCTTCAAAATATTACTTGCTATTATTATCTTCATTCTACATAAGCTAGAAGAATTGTTGTGAAAACTCTGATGATATACATCAGTAGTATCCAATTCAACAAATTAGAAAAATAAGATTCATCTTTCTTCTTCTAATTCAAATTTAAATATTCTGATACTGTGCTA